TCGGACTTCAGGTTAGGCCCTTGAAATTTTGACAAAATCCCAATCCTAACCCAGAAAATTACACCCTTAAATAAAACATGGAAAATGCATACCTTCAGTTGGCTTGGATTCCATATTCCTTATTGGAGTTGAACCGATCGAAATGTCCAAAACAGATTTTAAACTCGTAACTTAAACCCATATCAATACAAAATCAACAATACTTAATTTTATAATTTGATCAGGAAAATCAAATTTATGAAGTATTTGAGACCTTGAGCTAAGCTAATTAGGATATATGTTAGAAAATATCTGACAGAAATTTAAATCGGGTTTGGACTCTTGTAAATGGACAGTTAGACAAAAATAAAAAGCAGATCAGGTGGTTTGGTGGGTTTGATAAAAAAATTGCCCACATGCGTGGCACCCTCTTTGCAGGTAGGTGATCCTCTATCCCAACAGTAAATGTCAAGGATTTTCTGTCGGGTAGTATCATCCTATACTACGAACTTGGATTCAAACTGTCGTTCCCAATTGCAATTGAAGTGGGCCTTCTCAAAATGCCCATATGTCTCACCAAGAGAAAGCAAATACATATAGGAAAAAGGTTTCTTAATCGGGCCAAATAGAAAGCTTCCCTACTTATGGACCCACCTATTTTTGCCATGTCAAGGGAACTTACAGCCAACCCAGACTGTCCATCATATAAAGAACCCATAATGAATTTACAGCCAATGTTGTCAGCATGTCCCAACCGGCCAATGCATGTCTTATATGCACATTTCAGCATATATTGAGAATATTTTTCATATTTGTCATTGGGAGATATTTTCAATACACAGGTAGGATGTGCTGTTGGGCATGACTTATTGGGACAGCGTTGAGAGCATTTTGTTGGTAAGAGATTACATTCCGTAGTATTTACTGTTTTTTATAAAAGAGTATTTGTTTTACATATATAGTGTTTTTAGGCTGATATTTTCCTAAAAGACAAAAGGGTTGTAAGACTATTTGGTCATTTAGGCTGTATTTGGTTGAAGGAAAAGAAAAGAAAGGAAAGGTCACTAAACTACCCCACTGAGAGAGAGAGAGAAAGAAAATGGCAGATGAATAAGATAGAGACAAGAAAGAATTTGGTGGGTATAGTGGGAAGCTTTAATTCTGTGTTGACAGCTTCCAGTTTTTAGGAGGATAGTCCGTGTTGATAACGTGTATGGATTGGACTCCATTACATCGCACAGACACTCTTAAAAGGCAAAAAATATGAATTTCATGATTGCAAGCTGCACCTTCACGTCCCTGCCGCTGCCGCGTGTGTTCATAGAATTAATAAAGAACACGACCCTCAACCCAACTACGCTGCCCGCTCAGCCACTGGACGAGCCACCTCGCTACTGAACTGTATCTGTGAACTGTGATTGTGTCTACAACTCCAGAATTTCCCGACTTTAATTGATTCCTCACAATAATATCCCTTTTTCTCTTGGCTTTATTGGATTCGACTCAATTTCCAATTTTGTATGTAAAGAAGAGAGAAGTTGCAGTTCATAATGGCGAGAGCTGAGCATGAAACTAGCTTCAACCATGTGTCCTGTTTTGCCAACTTCTGGGTTTACGTTTAAATACGTTGCTGGGTTGTCATTGGAGATCTCTTAAATTGGACGTTTGTCTCATGCGAGGTGGATATCGGATGAGATTGGGTTCAGATCCTCAAACTGTTAGCTTTACTTTGTTTGATTTTGATCTTCAATTCTGAGTGTGATAATTTAATGTCACACCGCCACCCACTTCCTCCCAATTTTCAAGGGTATGATGGTGCAACTCCTCTAGTAATTACCACAAAAAAAAAAAATGGTGCAACACCTTTGTGCATTTAAGATCATTTTTTTATGCCATTATCAAGCCTAAGTGTCAACTCATATAACAAAGTAATTGATATTTGATTACTTCTCCCATTCAACACCATAATAATCAAACCACATTTAATTTCTAAATTCCTCTAGTTGCCACAAAAAAAAAAAATGGTGCAACTCCGCCTTTGTGCATTTAAGATCAACTTTATACAATTATCAAGCCTAAGTGTCCCACTCATATAACAAAGAAATTGATATTTTGATCACTTCTCCCATCCAACACCATAATAATCAAACCACATTTAATTTCTAAATTTTGTTAGATTTTGAAAGGGAAGAAAACACAAAAAGTAAAATGAAGAAGAAGAAGAAAAAGAAAATGGCAACTTACAAAATTAATTTACTGTTGTACACCCACAACATGTATATCAATCATATGCATTGTCTCACCCAAGTTTTTTTTTTTTTTTTTTACGTGTCTCACCCAAATAAAATTGTCAAGATGAATCTTGTGCAATTATTTGTATCTATCTCACAGCAGTACCATAGTATTTAATTACTACTGCAATATATCATGGTAGGAAAATTAGTTGAATTCCTCAACTACATTTAATCCTGTGATTTGGTATTGGACTATTGGTAGGTAGTACTAAATTTGAATGCAGTAGCATAGATGCAAAGCTTTAGTATGCTTCATCAATTAAGTTGAATTTGCAAATACATAGCTCATGTTTTAGGAGTTTAATGTTAACTCTCAAATTTCCCAACAATTATTTTCAAAAAAGAACCCCAACAAATGGGTTTAGAAGGAAGAGAGTTTGCCTTTAACTCTAGTCTTCTCTCTTTTAAGCCCCGTATCTTGGGTAAAAATTGTTAATTTTCATGGCTCAATACTTAATATTTTCTAGAAAAAAGTTCAGTATATATAATTTTATTATCCGAATCCATGAAGTTCAACTAGATCCTAACAGATTTAGATAAATAATAGGCACTTGAAAATATTAGCATAAGATTTTCCATATTTAACTTTCTATGGAGATGAAGTTGAAAAAGAAAATAGGAAAAAAGAAGCTGAGTCCATGAAATCCTGTTTTTTAACAAGTACAAATAATTTGTACTTGAGAACCCTGGATTTGGATGCTCAGGTAGAATTTATAGCATTTGAAAAACATGGAGATCTGACTACAAAAGACAAGTAGGCTTATATACACAACAGTACTCTGGTATCTTTCACCAATGAAAACAGTAGTTGAAACTATTATATTATTAAAATGCTAGCTAGTACACATGTATGATCAACAGGCTGCCATGCATTTCCAGGACTACTTTTTTCAAAAAAATATATATATTGACACCATTTCTTGATTCCTAGCTTAAATAATTATGCTAAGCAATAATAATAATATAAGTACATTTTTTTCATTTTCTTTATTTAAATACTATGTAAGAAATAATTTGATGTTCTTATCGAAGGTAGCATATACACACAAGATCAGTTCCTACTTCCTAGTTGTCAAGTATGTTGTGATCTTCTATAACTTCTCAAAGCAATTTCTTTACTTGTTTAATATCTTTCAAATCCAAGTATACCAAAGAAAAAAACTTGTAATTTCTTTACATATTTACTATTTTACCTTTTTAATTAAAATTTATAAAAATAAAAAAAAATATTTCATTTTATTTTTTTTATAGGATAATTTCTTTATTTCGGGTAAATACTACTACTACCAGTAAATATATTTAATTTTGGAAAATTATTGTAAGAACCCCTTGACATTTTATGGCCCTAAATTTGTGATGTCCAAGAGATGAGTGGTCAATTGTTAGCTATGACTTGTTCTACTTAAACAAAGAAAAAAAAGAAAGAAAAGAAAAATAAGAGAAATAACTATATATATATATATATATATATATATATATATATTGTATGTATATATGTATGTATGTATGTATGAATGTATAAATTAAGGGGGTGTTCAACAATAGACAAAATTATATTTATTGATTGATTTTGTGGAATTGAGAACAAGGTTGATTTTGTTTTTTCAAAACAATTGCCACATTGTTTTGCTGATGTGAGAGCTGTTTTGTTTTCAACCATGTTTAAATAATTTCCCACTTAATTGAAACTCCAAATAGAGAGACTTCTGAATTAAGTGTTAGAATTTACCTTAATTTACAAAAGAAAATGCTGAAAAGAAAAATACAGAGATTAGTTAGTGTAACAATCATTCATGATTCAACCAAGCCTTGTTTGTCATCAGTCTTCCAGTCTTAATTTATTCATGGATTTATCTGCCCCTTCAGAGCTTCAAAGATGGCTCATTTGATAACCCCTCTTTCTCAATCCAATTCGTATTAGCTGTCAGCTGAACGCGATGGCTGTTCAGTCAGATGTGGAACCAATCAACCAATGATAATGCTCCACGTCACCGAGAAAATGGTTGTGTGTTCCATATATTTTATTACTGACGTGGAATATTATCATTGCTTCCACAGCCACAGTCAGCTAATCTATTCTCTCTTCGATCCTCATCCTCCAGTCCTCCACAAAATCAGATCCTTTCACATTAACGGCCCAAATCCTCTCCTTCCCACCAATCAACACCTCACACTACGCGACAAAATCAACTTTTTGATAAATACCATAATTAATGCATGTACTGGTTAGACGGAGGGCTTGTTGGTAATTGCATTCTTTTCTCTAACCCCTCCGTTTTATTCTTAAAATTACTCTTTGTCAGTGCTTTCTCATGTTCACCGAACCCTGAACCAAAACCGGACCTCTCCCTCGTCATCCCAATTCCTATAAGGGCATTTTCGTCACTAACTCTGTCCTACTTTTCTGACGAAAACAAATAGTTATTGACCAAAATACCCACGGTCCACAGAGAATCCTCTCTGCCCTACTGCACTCAGGATCTTGTCTTGAATTCATCCGTTCGTCTTCCTTCTCCCTCTTCTCCCTTCTCGGTCCGTAAAGGCAGTCACGGTCAACAAACAGAGCCCCACGCTCTCTCATCATCAACTGACACGTGCGCTCTCTCTCTCTCTCTCTCAGTTTGCAAGACATGAGCTGGAGAGAGATTCCCTCGGTGGAAATCGAGCTGGAATTGGAGGAGAGTGAAGGGCGCCTCTACCTATAAATACCTCTCTCCTCACTCGACTTCTCCACGCATCCTTTACGTTCAATCATCAAAACCCAACTACCCAACTAGTCGTTCTTCAACTCCTACACTTCCAACTAGTGAAACTCACATGGAAATTCCCATGTTTTCGCTTGTTTCTTCACCCTTCATCTTCCTTGCCTCTCTGCTATCTCTGTTTCTCTTGTATGCTTTAGCTTGGATGCTAATTGCCGGTCGTCGGAGATTGCCATTGCCTCCCGGAACGACGGGCTGGCCTTATATAGGAGAAACCTTTCAACTCTACTCTCAAAACCCAAATGTCTTCTTTGCTTCAAAAGTGAAGAGGTTGGCCTCCCTTTCACTTGATTCAGCTCTTGTAAACTACTCAGACTCAGTAGAGTCTCTGTTCTGTCATTTCTGAATTCTGATTAAGTTGGTTTTTAATCTATTATAGGTATGGCTCTATATTCAAGACACATGTGCTGGGGTGCCCCTGTGTAATGATTTCAAACCCAGAAGCTGCCAAGTTTGTATTGGTGACAAAATCTCATCTTTTCAAACCCACATTTCCTGCAAGTAAAGAGAGAATGTTGGGTAGACAGGCCATCTTCTTCCACCAGGGAGCCTATCACATGAAGTTGAGAAAGCTTGTTATGAGGGCAGTCATGCCAGAGGCAATCAAAGACATAGTCTCTGACATTGAGGCAATTGTCGTCGATACTCTCCGGTCATGGGATGGCATGTTGATCAACACGTTCCAAGAAATGAAGACGGTGAGTTTTCTTCGCTGAACTCATTCTCCATGGTCGCAACAGAGGAAAGCATAGAGAAACAGGGGTCCCCAGTCTTTCTTTTGCTTCTCTTCTGCTTCTCCTTTCGCGGGAGAACCAGGTACAAGAGTTGAACAGTCAAAATCATCTGGAATCTCAATTTTTCTTTTTTATGTTGGCCTTGAATTCAAGTAATTCGATACATCCAGCTAGCTGAGATAATCTGTCAATCTCAGATAAATTAGCCTCCAATCCATGAATAAAGAGCAGCAACGTTTTTGATTGCTAATGGATAAGTGGACATGGGTTTCGGATAGTCTGTAATTTCGGGCCAAATTGCTATTCTTAGTTCTGATCTGACTCTGTTTGTTCTTGCAGTATACGTTCAATGCGGCATTATTGTCCATTTTTGGAAAGGACGATGTCCTCTACAGGGAAGAACTCAAACGGTGCTACTACATTCTTGAGAAGGGCTACAATTCAATGCCCATCAACCTTCCAGGAACCCTCTTCAACAAATCTATGAAGGCAAGAAAGGAGCTGGCTCAGATCCTAGCCAAAATCCTCTGTTCCAGGAGGCAGAGGAAGGAAGAAAGCAAGGACCTTCTTGGATCCTTCATGGGTGAGAAAGAGGGTCTGACCGACGATCAGATTGCCGACAACGTAATAGGCGTCATGTTCGCTGCCAGAGATACCACAGCCAGTGTTTTGACATGGACTGTCAAGTACCTGGGAGAAAATCCAAGCATCCTACAAGCTGTAACTGTAAGAATCCTAGTCCTCCTGACTATCAAAAGAAACTGTGTTTCCTAAGACTTTCCTTTTTCATGAAGGAAATAAACTAGAAAATTTCATAATAATCATTGGGTTTGGTTGGTTTTGGCTTCACAGGAAGAGCAAGAGACCATAATGAGGTGCAAAGAAAAGTCTGGTGAAGATAGAATTTTGACTTGGGCAGATACCAGGAAGATGCCAATAACTTCAAGAGTTATTCAGGAGACTCTAAGAGTAGCTTCAATTCTTTCTTTCACGTTCAGAGAAGCTGTTGAAGATGTTGAATATGAAGGTTGGTATTGAGCCATTAAATAAAACAAAGCAAAATAAGATACCCATATCACCCTTTTCCTTTTGTTATTCCACAAGTCGTTTTCTTTTTTCTTTTCTTCTTGTTTTATCTTTTGTTTGTGTATGAGGTCATAATCTGAATTTCCTTCCTTTTACCTGATTTCAGGATATCTCATACCAAAAGGGTGGAAGGTTTTACCACTTTTTAGGAACATTCACCACAGCCCAGACAACTTCCCAGATCCTGAGAAGTTTGATCCCTCCAGATTTGAGGTGAATATGAAAATACATTTTTTCTTTATTTCTTTAATTTAATTTTTTACGTTTTTGATAAAATTTAATTTTTTACTGATTCACCCAAAAGACTAACAATCAAATCTCTGTGTATGTCTGTCTGTGTTCAACAGGTTGCTCCAAAGCCCAATACTTTCATGCCATTTGGCAATGGGATACACTCATGCCCTGGGAATGAGTTAGCCAAGTTGGAGATTTTAGTTCTTCTACATCATCTGACCACAAAGTACAGGTAATCCTATCCAAATGACCCATGAGACAAGTTTCCTAAAACAGAAATTCTCCCCTCTGTCACTGTTATTTTATGCTAACTTTGGATGTTCATTGATTTTACTTATTTGCACTGACAGGTGGTCTATGGTGGGGCCACAGAATGGAATCCAGTATGGCCCATTTGCTCTTCCTCAGAATGGATTGCCCATCAGATTATCTTTGAAAACATGAAAGTGCAAACCAGACAGTATGGTGAATGGTGCTTTTAGTTCTTCCCAAAAATAGAAGACCTTCTGAAGAAGAGAGAGAGAGAGAGAGAGAGAGGGGGCTAGGACTAGAAGGATTTTGCAATGAAAGGAGAGAAATCCCTCACTATTTTTTGCCAAGAGACAACAAAACATTGAAAGAAGAGAAACCTTTAGGAATGGAAGATACAGAAGGGAAACAAGTGTAAACAAAAAGAGCCTTTCAGACCAAAAGAGAAAAAAAGCATGAAGGGGATGGTTAATGCAATTTCAAGCAAGCTCTGTTTCTACTTTCTATTCTCCTTTTGTAAATAATGAGAAGAAAGTCCTTCTCTTTGTGGGGGTCAAGTAGGTAGATGGGTTGTGGTTGGATGTCAGGTTCTTGGGTTGGCCTTAACCCATGTTCCATTAATGCCTATAAGTAAATAAAAAGAAAAAAGCAACATAGAAGAGAAGCAAAAAAAGAGCATATCTATCTTTAATCTCGACAGTGTTTGCTACAAAGAAAGTAACAGATGGCTTACTTTACTTCATCAAGAAATTTTGCTTCATAATTGTCATATTCCATAACAACTGACCTGACCATAAACAAGCATGTCATTATTAATAATTACAACAATGTCCCAAAATTCAATTGTTAGTTAAAATCATTGCTTGACTTTTGATCCTAAAAAATGGAATATTCATGATCTATGATGGGGACTTCACAGTAACGAATTAAATTGACAACCATATATGTCGGCACTTATTTATTCTCAGACAGTTGAAATTGGGTTGAGATGAATATTGGAATTAAAGTTAGTTGAGAAGAATAGCAGGTTCTAAGATAAGCCACCTAATTCCTAATTGATTTAATTAATGCTTTGTTTGATAATAATATACAATAAGAAATAGCCTTGATCTTGAGAATAGTTAATAACATATCACAGCTTGAAATAACTAGCTAATTAATAACCACTCTTACAGGCTTAAAGCAGCATAGTAAGTTGTAGCCATATTCACTCATTTAATTGGGACAGTTGTAAAACCCTTGTTGGTCTACATCAATCATTGATGTGCTTAGATTACATTAGCAAGTGCACTATCTAATCAAGTAATACAATGATGAATAGGGTATCGTCCCCACAAGGATTGATCCAACAATTACTAGTAATGAATCAGTCGTTTGTTATTTGATAACCGAAATATTAAATAAATCAAAACCCTAATTCTTAATGAGCAAGTTACCCTAATCAGTTTCAGATCAAACCACCTTCATGCAATGAGAAGAAAAGTTGTATGTAAACACTAGTAAATTCGGTTCAGCAATTAAACCATTAAGTTATTCAACTGATGTGGAATTCAGTCATGGGTTGGAAAAACCCTAATGGTATGAGCAGCATCTCTCAAGCACAACCCACTCTATCTATGGGTAACAATTCCTATATCTCTATCAAGAATTTAATCCCCATAGATGCATTAAGAACAAAGAATTCGAATGGCATTAATTCAGGTATGAATGAACACCAAACGAACCATGCAAATTATCTCTAAGATGCATTCAGTCTGTTTTCTTGATTAGATGATCTGATTACCTAAGTTCTTTCTCAAACAATTCAAGCAATCCAAGAATTAAGAACAATTCGGCCAAGATTATTCTATCAATTGAAAACCCTAATCAAGAAATCCCAAGAATGAATCCAATCAATCGAATAACATAAAAGAATTAATTACAGATTTGAATCAGCACCAAACATAATTCGAATACTAGAAAGAAAGAAAGATTCAATGACAAAAATCTGTTAAACCCTAACTGAATCTAGGTTACCAATTATGCAGAACCAAAGAAAAAGACAACCTATGATTCTTGCATCAATCTTTGATCTCCTTGATGTGATTCTTCTTCAATTCACATTCAGCAACCTTCTTCTTTCTCTAGCACTTCTCTTCTTCAGTTTGCTTTCAGGGGTTTGAACCCTCATTCTAGTGCATTTCCGGATGAGAACTTGCAGGCTAAGGAATGACTCCAGCACGTCAACAGTGCGGTTGCAGATAATTCGGGCCCGATTTTGACTTCGATGCAGTCCGTATCTATAAAAACTCAAAACCTAAATGTTGTAGAAATTTTCCTTATCTTTCCAACCCATCTTGAATCATCTCAATCGGAGTTCGGATGAGAGAGTTATGCCCAAATTACAACATGGTGCTGAAACTGTCCAGAATTACCCGATTAGCCTTATTTTTCACTTAACGCCTCCTTTCATCTCCTAAATCATAATATAAGAATAATGAGTCCATTTAGGCACTAAATAAGTATAAAAGACTAAATATTAAGGGATAAAAATATGATAATTTTCATTTTCATCAATCACCATACATGATACACCCTTTTGAGTCTATAATTCATTACAGTTTTAGGAAAACAATTATATGTTTCTAAAAGCTTTGCACCCCATACCAGACAAGTAGAGGTATATATATGATGTGACCAATCCACATAATTAATATAAGAAGGAAGTAGAACCATGAGGACTGAACCAGACAGAGGTATCAAATGAAAGAGTTAAAGCTTCACATACTTATTTAATTTGAATCGCTGAGGCTATTGAAGACTTTGTTAGTTGTTAGTTGGATGGTGTGCAGTAACAGAACTTCCATATATTTTAAGACATTTCATCCCCATTTATTAGCTTTAGCTTTATGAATATTACTTTCTTTCATGAATGTAAGCCAATAAAATAGTAGTGGATACTTGTAGACTCTTGAGTGTTAGTAAGTAATTTATCATTACTTTTCAGAGAGAGAGAGAGAGAGAGAGAGAGAGAGGTCTCTTTGGGTTTGGCTCAAACTTAGTAGAGGGGTGAGGAAGAACTTACTTGGTGGGTGGAGAGAAGTGTTATATGCAAGTTGCCACCTAAGCTTCTGCTACTTGAAAGATTTTAGGCCACAAAAGTCCACCAAATTGCTACCCAAGCTGCCAAACACAAGATCCTAAGCCACAGAAATCTTTCCCTTCATAAGTTCATCTAGGGACCATCAGTCAGTCATCTTAGCTTTGTTATCTGCCACAAGTAATTAAAATCCTACAACACCAACTGCCTTTCTCTATGTAGGCCCGTATACGGAACCAGTGCCCTTATTATCATCTTGGTATCCATGCCAATCACTAGAGCAAGGCCAAAGAGACTTACTTATCTTTGTGACTTGGCATGTTTGAAGGTTCATGCATAAATCAGAGTAGAGTAGTGGAACACGACTCATGGAGCTGGCCCTGAAGATTCGGGATAAGGTTTCCCAATTGCTTCATTGATTGACTTTTATGCAAGTAATGCAACATACCTCTTACAAGGATTCGGTGATGTTGATTGGGCTGGGGCTATCTTTTTTAAGTCATAACAAATTTAAATGATTATGAAAAGTGATGTCTTAGTGTGGTCATGAGAACTTGCATCTATCCAGTCAGGACTCAAGAACCACAATCTTCTCTTCAATGCTGGTTCAACTCATCTTACAATGTTTTCAGCTCATGTCTTCCTTCAATCCATTGAATTCCATGTTATCCTGATCTCTTCTACTTCAAAAATCACCAACAAAATGTCAATACACCCACCTAAGCACTGTAAAGATTCAATGGTTGGAAGGGATAAGAGAAAAAAAAAAACTTGTGAAGGCAAATGAGAAGAACATGGCATGAAGGCCGGAATCAACTTTTCGACATATATCGGACCCACTATAGGGCTCGGCGGCAAGGTGATCGAGGAGCGACATGCCAGTTAGGGGGGAACACACCACAACATAAAGTAGTAGGCCTTTGATAGGTATGTTGCCAGTTGAATGGGGAGCTCTCTTACCTACAAGTTGCCTGTTTGAACCCCTGGACCTGCAAGTTGGGAGTTGGTACCTTTGATAGTTGGAACTAGGTGTCATTAACAAATAGAGAGTATTCAATACTGCACAGAGGTAGATTAGATGTTCTTAGCTACATAATCTCAATTCTCATACTAAACAACATTATCCCCCATCCAAAAATAAATGAATTAATAAAAGATCTTGGGTTGTCATCATCATCATCAAAAAATAAATAAATAAAGAGCAAACCAAATTAACAAAAAAAAAAGAGAGAGAGAGAAGAAGAAAGAAAACAATAGTATTAAACCTCATGGATATGTCCCACAACAGTATTAACAACTTTGTACTAGTTCAATGTATCCATCTTTGATAGGGAAGGGATGTGGACTCACTTGGATCAATTTACTGTTAGTTGTTTGTGTGTCATTTTCTGATTTCTGATGAGTACTCAGTACTACTCAAACAAATTAAAGCACATCAATTAATTCATTAGAAATCAAGGACGCATCTTCCTGATTTTGCTTCTTTGAAACCCAAACCTCATTTTTCTCATGTCTATACTTAGGGTCTGAGACCATAGGACAGATTAATTAGAATCAGTAATTCATTTCTGTGCTCAGAGAGCCAGGACCCACCCTTGGACAGATCCCTATCTTAGAAATTAGAACATGATAACTGCTATCACTCTTCATCGAATCCTTCTGACATTGCTTGGCAGTATACAGAGAACTTAGTAGTAGTTTTTTATCATATAGTTATAGACAGGGCATCCTTTATCAGCTATAGCCTATTGTAATGGGTTCTGTTGTCTCAAGTCAGAGGCAATCTGTGATCATTTAGGGCATCTCTTATAAATATCAACGTCAGCTTATGAATTGTCACCTGGTTAACTGGTGAAGTTAATTGTCTGATCCCCCAAGCACTCGGTAACAAGCCCAGATGCAGCCCACTAGCATGACAAGTGTCTTCTGTTTTATTGGTACTACTTGGGTAACCCAATTTTAACAGTGGTGGAGCCAGGCCCATTCAAATTTTGATAAATCTTCAACCCAAGTCTGCCCAAGTTGCACCCCTATTTAATTTTCATACGATAATTTGCCAAGTGTTAAGTGGTCCAACATAGATAAACCAAGAGCTGATTTCACTTGTTTCTCTTTTGGTTTTACTAGCGTAAGAGCACGAAACATGTGCAAGTAAGAATTAACCAAGGTGTTAAAAATTAATCCGGAATGGAACCGTTTTGTCCAATGGTTTCTTGGTTGACTGTTCGGCCGTTCAGTTCAAACAGACGGTTCGTTTCAACTAAAAAATTAAAAAGTAAAAAAATAATTAAAATAGCAAACAGTTAAAATTGTTGAATAGGTCGACGACAGTTCGACCACCCAAGTCAATGAATTGCTAATCAAATCAACGGATTTTAGTCAAGGACTGACCGGATTGAGGGTGAAATAAAACCAGTTACCTGGATGGTAATATGACATTGCATTTAATTTTTATGACATATACGGTAATACCAAAATCAAAGCAAGTATCTGTTATATATAATATAAATAGATAAATAAATAAATAAATAAATAATGTAATGCTGTTAATGAAGAAAATTTATTAATACATAAAAGTTGTTGGCTGTTACACCACTAAAGGATGTACATGCATG